CTCCATGTCAGTTTCCAACCAAGAGAGGGGTGCGTCTGAGTGCCTTTCAGCAAACCTGTAGACTCACCCCCTACCTTTTCCAAACCACCAGCTCTGGAGGGAAGCAGTCTCCCCAGCAAAGTGGTCAAAGTTAGATTTATAAAAGACCCCTGAAACCTGAGAAACCACCAAAGTTGATCCCTCTTTCCTCTCCTGCTCCATCAAGATGAAAAATATTCCAGTTTAAAAAACAAACAAACAAACAAAAAAAAACCCCTCCCAAATGTAAGAATTTCCCAATGTAAAAAGTAGTGTTAAATTACAATAGTATGATGTGGTCCAAGAAACTCAAACCATGTCAGAAAAGTGAATTAATTTGTTCAACAAGCATTTGTTGTATTGCTACCAAATGCCAGGCCCTGGGCTAGAGGCTGCAGGCTGCAGGCTGCTGTTTGGGGACTTGTCATTTATACACTGGTTCTCAATTGTTAGTGCAATGACAATCACTTTGAAACTTGTTTAAAATGTACATTCCTGAGTTCAATCCAGAGCTTGTGATTCCTCAAGTGGAGTTGAAGCTTAGGAATCTGCCTTTTAACCTGTTTTCAGATGATTCTGAAGCAGTTGGTCTTCAGGTTGAATCTTCAGAAAGCTTCTAGCAATTTTTAAGCTCTGATCAGCTATTTAAGTTAAGTTACTTAAACTCAAGATGTCAGGGGATTGGAAGAGACATGATTTCTAAACTTTTGGAAAAGGTTTTCTACGGAACAAAAGCCTACCAGTTAAGATGCCACCTCTTTCAAAACCGGAAAAAGACACTGTGTCATCATGTAGAAGAAGCTTAAAGGAATTCATTGAACAAGTGTGTATGTGTGTGAAGATTCACCAACTTGTATGCTTATGTTTTATGTTCTTTACCACAGGGAGCTTACAGCACGGATGTTGTACCTCAACTTTTTTAAAAAGGGTTTTTGTTTGTTTGTTTGTTTGTTTGTTTGTTTTAGAGGAAGTATAAGTATAAAGAGGTTAAGGGGTTTAAAGAAGCTGTTCCTGAGGGGAGTGAAGGAGCAAGGTGGGAGACTGGCCGGGAGAAATTCACATGCCTTGATAAAGGTACCAGGTGAACCTCAGCAGCTGTCACAGTAGAAAGAGACTGGGAAATGGGAGTTAGCAGATATGGATGCAGATAAGTTAAAGGTAGGATGAGTGAGACACCTTGGACAGGGAGGGAGGGAAGGAGGAGGGAGGGAGGGACAGATGGAGGGAGGGAAGAGGGGAAGAGAAGGAGAGAGGGAGACAGAATCCAAAAGAGGAAGAACCTGGACCTATAGAGAGCTCATGATCTTGTGCCTGGGAATTGCCATGTGATTTTGAGCAAACCATTTGCTCCAATCCTGTATGTGGATCTTCAAAATGGGGTTGGACTTCCAAAAGCCACCATTAGGAATAAAAGAATGGTCTACGTGAAATGTGATTTGTAAACCACAGACAGCTGCTAAATGTTATTTAATAGGAATACATTCTGACCCAAGGTTAGGACAACTGCAAGTGTCGATATGAGCAAGTGCCCCAGCTTAGCTCCCCAAGTGATTCCCACATCTTTCCCACCTGACCACCAACACACAGGGGTTAGTGAGAGGATTTCTTTCCTTCTCTGCTCTGAAACAACTTGGATGTTGCTTTGTGTGAGCCTGAGTAGAGATTCCTTTTAGCTCCACCCCCCCCCACCACCTCCCAGGCAGAGCCAGCTGTTAGCATGGAAGCCTTTGCCTCTTCCTTGCCCTGTGAGTGTGTCCAGTTAGAGGCCATCGACCTCACCAAGGCAGCTTTCTGGGGGCCTTGAGGGGGGGAGGCAAAACAAGTCAGGTACTAAAATTAAATGAATTGTCTCAAATGTTTTTTTAATTAAAATTGTGATTATTTTTCTGAGCATAAGAGGCTCTTTAAGAACAATTGCTCTTTCTGAATGGTAGATGAAGAGCTCAGCAGTTCCAAAGCCAGCTAGGGAAGGGAGGTGTGCACAGAGAGATGACAGGTGATGGGCACTCCCCTTTTAGGGATAAGAAAGCCACAAGGAGAAATGGGGGAGGTGGAAAGACAGATCTGCTTAGAAAGGTCTCAGACTCAGGCTCCTAAGAGAGAAGGCTGAGCTGGTTGGGGACCCAAAGCTTGATTTTGTTTTTCTTTTGTTCCATAAAATTATACCATCTTCTCCATCCTTTCTCACCACTGGGGGACCCCAGTCACCAACCTTGAAAATGCAGCCAGAGCCACCCACTGCCTTAGCCTTGTGGCAACCAGGGGAGGAGGAGGAAGAATCCAAAAGGGTGTGTGTGTGTGTGTGTGTGTGTGTGTGAGAGAGAGAGAGAGAGAGAGAGAGAGAGAGAGAGAGAGAGAGCTCAGAGACACTGGAGAGAAGCAAGGAGGAGGGGGGAGACAGACCACTAGAGAGGAAGGAAAGGGGTCTACAGGAGAGGAGTAGAAAGAGTAGAAATGAGAAGCATCTTCAAGAGAGAAAAGAGGAAAGAGAGGAAGATCCAAGAGCAGCAAACAAAAGTGAACACTCCGGGAATGGCTGCTCTGAGTTCAGCAAAACTGCCAGCTCAAAGCCAAAACCCAAACCAGCAGCATCCCAGTCCCATTGAAGGATTTCACTGGCCACACTGTGCCACAACCTCCTTTTGGACGCTCCAAAGTGGGGGTGCTGGCAGATGCACCCAGATGTGCAGATGCCACAAGCTAGGTCCAGAACTGGGTTGCTGTATCGGGTTCCTGGAGCTGCACCCGGGGCGGTACACACTAGCTTCCCCAGATTTCTGTCTACATCCAGCACCAGCGCTTATGTCCTAGGACCAAATGGAGGGAGAGGTCTTCTTGCAGGAATTAATATCTATTTCAGTATCCTTCTCTCTCAAAGTTTCTCTTTGATGGCAGACAGTCTTTTTCTAAGTCAGAAGAAAAGAACATTTAGCCTGTTCCCCCCATAACTGCACAAAAGTCCAAATGCACATGCAACTGGAAAACTCTAGAAACTGACAGTGTTAGGAGGCAGGAACTTTTGGTTGCCCCAAGACAAGTTCCTAAATAAACCAAGAAACTTGTGGGGGATAGAGGGGGTAGGATCCAAGGGACCCATGCCATAGAAACAAATAGAAGCCAAGAACAAGACGATCAAATAAGTGGACCAGGTCCTCATAGTCAGGCGTCTCTGACTCCCTGGGAACCGAAATGCTCCCCAGACCTCATGCCAGGAGTTCAGGGTACCAGTCACAGGGCCCCTGTACTTCAGGGGCTGCCACCCTCGGCCCTTGGAGTCCCTACACAGAGTCTCATCGTTTGCTAGGTCGTCTTTTTCATCTTCTTTTTGTTTTTGTTTTTGTTTTTATCCTTCAAATATAAGACAAAAAATACACCTTATTTATCGTCATAGATATATATATTTCACTCTCACCACATAAATACAAAACATCCAAATATCCAAAACATTCAGAACAAAGTTAGTAGCCAGGATTCAGTGACACCTACCCGCGTTTGAAACGTTCGTTATTTTCTCCACTATTTGCCTAAGGGGGGAAAAGAAAAGGAAGAAAGAAAGAAAGAAAGAAAGAAAAAGGATGGTGGGGGGAGCTTCCGACGTAAATAATTTACAATAAAGTTACTATTTTAAAAATGTTTTGCGTTCGCTTCGGATCGGTGAATACATTCTAGACACTGCGGCAACTCGCGGGCTGGGTCTGTGATTTTGGTTAAAATGCGGGTGGCTGTGACTATGGGGACTGTCGCTGCTGCGAGGGGTGAGGCCGCGCCAGCGCCTGGCGGTCGCGGTGCTGACTTGGGACCACTGAAGCCCTGGGGTTAGGGTGCGGGAGGGGATGCCTTTCCTCTCAGCCACGCAGGGAGCCTTCTGGACAAGGAGACAAGCGACAGAGGCCAGACCGCCCGGAGATCCTGGCTGCGTCCCTACCTCCTCTTCCGCAAAATTTGCTCTGAGATCCAGGCGTTTCCTGGATTGAAAGGTTTTGTGAACCCGGGAATCTGGGAGAGGAGGCAATGGGTGTTGATTCGTTTCCAAACCCAGCAATTCTGCCCTGAGCCACGCGTCTGGGGGACGGTGGGGCGAAGCGCTGGCGACCCGGCTACTGCTCTCTCCCAGAGGAGCGGGAAGCTATCGGCCACCGCCCCGAACAGCCTGGGAGAAAAGATTGGAAATTTTCTTTCATTAGCGGCGTTTACTTTTCTTTTGCTTCCTCCGCCCCAAAATTTTTGTTTAAAATCACAACACTGGGAACTTTGATTTTGCATTGCCCCATGGCGCATTTCCTGTCCTGAATTTTCTTACCCCTTCCAAACGCCATTATTATCAGTATTTAAAAACTGGTTCCACTTCATCTGGTTTTACGTAGTAATTACTCTTTATTGCTGATTAGATTAAATTTATTACCACCATGCCTACCATGATGCTCTATTTATTGTTTCCTGGGGTTAAGGGAGACCGTGATTGGAGTTTTCCTAAAGGGGAGAAAACTCAGCGGGATGTGTCTCGCCAGGAAGCTGAGTGTGCACCCACTATCCAAAGAGGTCTGCAAAGTGGGGCCCAAGGACTTCCCAAAGCCCTAATTTCTCTGGCAAGAGGAAGGAGTTGTCCTCCTTTTTGGTCTTAAGAAAACTGCAAGCTTCTTCATTTGCGTGCAGAATTCCTCTTTCGAATATTCATGGGAATAATTCGCTCGGAGGCCTGATCTAGACCAGGTGTCCTGTGCCGTGGACTGTCTCTTCCCTCCAGGGCGGGGCATTGGTTGGCTAATTCGGGCATTTCCCCCAATTCTTTGGATCACTCCTGGATTCAGAAAGAAGTTTGAGGGGCGGGAACAGGAAGGAAAGGTAGAGGGGGAAAATAGCCTAAGTGAGATGAAATTGGTCGCAGAGCCCGTGGGATAGATGAGCTGTCAGAGGCCTGGTGGGAGCCAGGAGGCCTGCGCAGGAGCCCTGGGCGCCTAACGCGCTAGAGTCCATAAATAATCACCACAATAGATACTATAAATATAAATACAGGGAAACACTTAAAATCAGTCCAGCGCTTTTTTCTCGGCCCCTTCTTTATTGTTGGTCCGGGAGTAAGGCTCGAAGGCCGAGGAGCTCAGATATCGGGCGGAGAGTTCTTGCAAATTTCCGGCTAGCGAACCAGCCATTGTCAATGGGGCGGAGGACAGGCGGCTGGCGACGGAGCCAAGCAGCGAGGGCACCGGCAGACTGAAGAGGCCGTGGCCGGCGGCTGGCGCTCCCGCGTGCAGTCCCCCGGGCCCGGCGGGCCCCGGCCCGGGAGCGCCGCCCACAGCCGGCGGGTGCTGAGATGTGGCGCTCGCGGGGCCCGGGGCGGCGGCGGCGGCGGCGGCTGCCGAGCTGGCCGCGGCGCCCGCGCCCAGGGCGGGTAAGCTAGGCCCGCGCAGCGCAGACCCTAGAGCGCCCGTGGCACACGGTGGCAGCAGCGCGGGCAGACCAGGCGGCGACAGCAGGCGGCCCTGCTCCAGCAGCCGCAGCACGCTGCACGTGGCCGCGGTCTCCGATACCACCGAGCGCAGCTCCGAGTCCTTGCCCTGGTCCTTCTTCTGCTTGGTGCGCCGGTTCTGGAACCAGACCTTCACCTGCGCGCGGGGACGCGGAGAGGGTGGGAGAGAGGAGTAAGGAAGACGAGCGTCAAAGGGAGCGGGCTCCTGAGGCGCGAGGGCTCCTGGGGCCCTCCCCCTGCCCCAGCCCTAGCCACAGCCCCACCCCGAAGCCCGAGAGGTCCGGGCACCCGAGCTGCGGGGGAAGCTGGCGCCACCACGAGGGGGACCCAGCTCTACTGGGCTGCGCTTCCGGGTCACGGAAGCAGGCCCGGGCCGGGGCCGTTTAAAAAAACCAAAGTGATAAAAATGTTCACAACCAGAAGGGATTTCACTGGGCTGCCGCCCTACCCCCAGCAGGATTGGGGGCTCACAGACATGTGAATCAGCTCAGCCTGAGAGCCCGAATTTCAGGTAAATGCTGTGAGGCCTTAGGCATGCAGTGCTAGCGGGAAGCAAGGAGGATGGGGAGGAGTGTTTTTGGCCTTCCTGGACCAGGCCCCTGGCCCAAGGCTCAAATTTAGCTCCAGAACTGCTACTCTTGTTGAAGGCTGTAAAGCCTGCTTTTGGGTTAAGAACTGACCAAGAACTAACAGCAAGCAGGAAAGGGGGCTCTAGGTGAAATAATTTGGGTGAAGAAGTATTTTACAGGCCAAACTTTCTCCACTTTTTATCACTGCCAGCTGAGTTGGAAGGTCTGCATGTTACTTTTAATCTATCATTCCTGTTGCTCTCCATCATGAACTTTGAAATCATGGGAAGAAGACCAGAGACTGAGATAGACTACTACCCTACCCCAACCTCCCAGCTCACTTCCTCTTCTGCCCTTCTTCTGGCCTAGTGGTTACCTAGAATAGAATGTAGCAGCTATATGGAAAGGCTACCCTGTCTAGATTAATAAATTATGATGCCAATTAAACCTCTAAAAGAACATCCCATCTATTCTATCCTCAGTCCTCAAGAGTTCCTCCAAAACTCCAGGCCTAAAATGCTCCCACCTACTTCAGAGGTGAGCATAGGGAAAGGACTTGTCATCAGAAAGAAGACTGCCTTAGTAGGTCAAACTGGTAACATGGCCTGGTCAGCCCCAAAACGGCCTTTGCAGGACAAAGCTCTCAACTCTACAGTGACTCTAGGCCCAGAATTCACAAGGCCAGCTTCAGGGACAACATATGGATTCAATGTAAAGAAGACCTAAAGACAGTCAGCAGTGCTAGCTCCCTGGACCGACCCTAGATCTATCTGCTACCCTTCCCATACCTCACCCCACTGGCACAGCAGGCAGAGCCTCCTAGCAGTTCAGAGTGGTTTTCATCACTGTGTCCAGAACAAACACAGGGCCAGGGCAGACAAATTTGCACAGGCAGGTCTCTGGGAGTTGCACACCTTTCTGCAAAATGGGTTTGAGAGTGGTGTAAAGCCCCTGACACAAAGTGGTCAGTGACTGGAAATCGGGCCAATAATGGAGTGCCCAAATAGGCAAAAAGTCGGTCTTTATAGAGTAGAAGTAAGAAACAAATTCTTAAGACTGGGAACCAATAAGAATTCCTAAAGGACAAGATTTGGTGCTGCCTGGGCCAGTCCAAGGTGCGCAAGGTTTGGGGATGCAGAGGGAAAAGGAAGACTTGTAGAAGGGGAGGAAGCCTCTGCCCTTTCTCCTCCATTGGCCCATCTCCTCTACTTCCCCTGGGAGGTTCTGTCCAAAGTCAAATTGGGTAGTGGGAAAGAACAAGCTGGGGGGGGGGGTGGATGGGAGGGAGCCTGCTGCAGAACAGTGCGCAGCCTGGCTGCCTAGTACCTGGGTTTCAGAGAGGTTGAGCTGCCGGGCGAGCTCTGTCCTCTCGCGGCCCACCACATACTGGCAGCGCTGGAACTCCATCTCCAGCCGGTAGAGCTGCTCCGCCGTGAAGGACGTTCGTGTCCTCTTGGGCCGGTCCAGGTCCAAGCCTTTGGGCAGGATGATCTCTCGGATGGACCCCTTGGCATCTGGGGAAGGGGAGATGTCAGGCATCAAGAACCCTCCCCTCTCCTTCCGCCTTCTTAGCCAGAGCTGGCTAGAGGACACAGTACCCAGTAGTCTGAGGGGGGTGAGGGTGCGGCCACAGCCGGGAATCAAAGGCACCGTGTGTTTATGCGGGGCAAAGGAGCTAACTCCACACCACTGACAAGAGGAGGGACCAGACTTCGTCTATATAGAGCCCTCCAGACAAGGGAGGGGAAAAAATCAATTCCAAATAGACTGATGTTCCTTCTAGCCTAGGGGACCGCGGCTGCGCGACCCGGGTTCCCTGTAGCCTGAGGGTGCCTTCACTGACCAGCCCAGGTCCTGCGGGCATCAGGCTGTGGAGCAGCCTGCGCTCCAGAGCTCCAGAGGTCCCCACCCCCACCCCGGGTCTCTGGCCCTCCGGAGTTCGGGCAGCGGAAGGAGGAGGGAGGGAATCCCGGCCCGCGGGGCCTGGCTATCTGCTGGCGGGGGCGGCGCCGGCCCGAGGCCGGGCTTCGCCGCCGCCACTGCCGGGGCTGAGCGCACGCTGCGCCCCAAGTGATGCCGAACCAAGCCCTAAGTGGACAACCGCAGCCCTGCAACCCAGCTCGGCCGATTTTCCTGGCAGCGGCGGCCAGGCCCGGAGCGCAGCGCCTAGGCCCTCGGCCCAGCGCGCCAACTGGCCGGCCGAAGCCCGCGCTCCCTGGGGTGTGCTCAGCCTGCTAGGGCGCAGGAGCCTGCAGGCCAGCTCTCTGCAGGTCCTCCAGCTCTTAGGGCGCGCTCACATCCTCCCGGAGTTCCCAGGTCCGAGGCCGCAGCCTGGTGGCCGGCCTCGTCCGCTCAGCCCCTCGGCTCTCTCGGCAACCTGGCCGGCGGGGCCCCTCCGAGTCCCCTGGAGAGCGCGCTGGTGAGCCCCAAGCTCAAGTCCCAAGCGGCCGGCCGCACCCTGGCAGGGAGGGCCAACAACTTTCTACGAAGTCCCAGCCAGCAACCCCTCCCGCCGGCCGTGGTCGGTGGCGGCGCGCTGCTCGGGGCCTGGAGTCGCCCCCAAAGAACGCGCCCAACAGCCCGGCCCATCCCTACCTCGGACCAGGATCCGGCGGCAGTAATCCGGGTCCGCTGCGGAATTGGATTTACTTTTGTTACAATCTTCCGCAGCGCCCGACGCGGAAAAGGCGCCCTGCGGCTCCTTGAGGAAGGCGGCCGGGAGGTTCCCCTCCGCGCCCTTGATCTCGCGGCTCTCCTTATGCGTGTTCTTCGAGACCCGGGCGGCCTCGGTGTCCGAGTGGCACCGGACGTCCATTTTGTCTGGTTTCCCGAACATAGGCAAAACGCACAGAGAGAGGGAAAAAAAAAGAATAAAAAAAAAAAAAAAAACGAAGAAAGAAAGAAAAAAAAAAGGAGAAAGGAAAAAAAAAAAAAAAAGAAGCAGAAGGGGACAAAACCCCTACAACGCAGCCGCTAAGCTCAGTCTGGAGAGAGGCAAGCGGCAAGAATGAATGTCCCCGCGGGGCGGCTTCGGCGGCCGCCGGTAGGTCAGCGGCGACGGAAGAGTGGCGCGCTCCCAGAGAGGCGGCGGGTCTGGTCCAGGATCCCGGTGCAGCCGCGGCGAGGCCGCTTCGTCAGCGCCCGCGTCTTCTGAGCACGTCCAATGTCCCCAGCCTGGAGATCAGGTAGCGAACAGCGCAACTCCGAAATGCTGCGGCTCCCGCCTGTTACTGAGACGGCGAGTTGTAGTTGTCCGACACCCGGGGGGACGCACACTCGCTGCTGCAATTGATTACGGGTAATTTCGCAGCCCCCACGTTTCGGTTACCTCATGAATACACTAAATTGTTTGGATAATATATCAGATCGTAATGGATGGTTTCTGTCCTTGTCCCCAATCAAGTAGGGGTTTAGCCAGTGAATAAACGGAAATGATTGGTCTTGCTTTCAGGAAACACACAATCAAAGACCTACACTTCCAGAAAAACTTTTGACAAGATTCATCCTGAATTGTTAGTACCATTAGCAGGCATTATTAACTTTCCCTTTGCCTTTGACCCTCCTGTTCACATGCTGGCTAGAGGGGTTTTCTCCACACTCGCCAGATAGCGCTGAATGAGGGTGGAGGGGGGAGGGAAAATACCCCTCACACACCCTGCATTAGAAGAAAGCAGTTGCCTCTGGGTGGGGAGAGCGGGGGAGGAGAGAAAGTTTTCCCCAAAAAGTATCTCCCCCACACTCAAAAAAGCCAAGCTGTCTCCCCAAGCCACTCCTTAACACACCTCGACGCTGACAGCCATCTTAAACTGCCACCTCTCTTCATTTAGTTCCAGTTGGATTTTTTCATGCCTGCACCTCCAGCAGCCCTGAGACAGCCCATTCAAAGGGCAGCTTTGTGCTCAGAGAGTCCAGCAGGAGAGAGAGGGGGAGAGGGAGAGAGAGCAGGGAAAATCTCAACTGTGAGATCTGCTTCAAAAAAAAAAAAAGTTTTCCCCTAGCTATTTCATTGTCTCTGCTACAATATCTTTGAGAAAAGCAACAGCCAGTAATCCAATAAGAGCATTGATTAGGCTACAATGATTCAATTCAAGCGCATGGCCTTGTGCAAGGAGCATGCTCCAGCCCTTCTCGTCACCTTGCCGGGGCAGAAGCCCTCTCCACGCCGCTCTCCCCATTCATTCCTTTATGGGAAATGCGGAGCAAAAGGAGTGAAAGATGGCAATTATCTAATTGGACTATTAACAAACAGTCCTCTGAGTGCGGCGGTCTGGCGTGGCTCCTGGGCGGGGGAAGGGCCGTGTTCCCTGCCCTCATTCACAAAGAGTGCAGGGGCCGCGGAGGAAAGGGGGCTTTTAAAAGGGGGTGGGGGGAGAGGAGAGGTGGGAGGTTTGGCTGAGAATTTTTCCACACAATTCCAAGAATGGGGCGGAGGCGGGCGGGGGAGGGGCGGGGGCTGGGGGCGGGGGTCGCGGCGAGCGGGTGGGAGGCAGCGAGGGAGCGGGGAGGGCTGCCAGTGTGTGTGGCGGGCCCCGAGGGGCTCCGGCTCTCACCCCCCGCCCCACCGTCCGGCCACCATCTCCCCTCCCTCCGCCGCCACCGCTCAGGACCCCATCAAACCCGGGGCCGGGAGGGGTCGGCCAGAGCGGGGTTTGCGTCCCCCTCCCCCAGCCCGCAGTCCCTTAGGAGAATCACGCTCAGCCCGGTTCTGGAGGGCGTCTGTGGCCCTGCAGGCAGACCTGGGGCTTTTACTTCATATTGTTGGGGGCAGCGGGAGGAGTATCCGGAGCTGGTCTCCACTGGGCGGCGGGTTTCCTAGGTCTCCACGGATTGATGACCCGTCGGTCTGCCTCGCCGCCAGCGCTGCGCTCCAGGCCCGACGCCTACCCCGCGGCCCGAGGGAAAGTGCGTTTGGTTGCGGGCTCTCCCCCCCGCAGGCCAGTGGGAGCCGAGAGGAAGGGTCACCGCGGCAGCCGCGTTCTGAAGACGGGTTTTGACAAATCCAGCCAACTTTCCTGTTACTTCCTGTAACGCTCAAACACCCGGGTTGGCGCCTGGAGGCCCCCAGGGCTTCACTCCCAAGATGACTGAGCAGTTGCGAAGTGCGGCCGCGGGGTTTGGGCTCCCATTATCGCGTCTCCAGTGAGGGTACTGGGGACTCGAGTGCTCGGATGGGGGTCCTGGTTCCCTGCAGCTCCTGAAGGCGGGGCTGGGAATCCTGAATCCCCGCCCGCGGGCCCTACCCTGCCACTGGGTCTGGGTGGGAGTGCAAGTGGGACCCACCAGACGCAAGTCGGGTGCGCAGGAGGATGTAGGATTCCCCTCCCCCACTTAGGAGCCCTGCGGACTGCGTAGGACCCAGCTACAGCCTGGATCAAAATGGGCCACCTCCGGTGGCTCTGGGTCGCTAGCTGGACGGCTCTGCGGCCTCCTGGTTTCCCTTCCTAGGAGGCCTCTGCTGCCTGAAAATCCCACGAGGACACCTGTGGCGCCCGGTTTTTTAAAAAATAAAAATAGCCCAACTTGCCACTTCTTTTAGGTCTGTGGGGAGGAGGCAGCTGGGGAGCTAACAGTGACCTACAGGAAGGACTCCGCTACTCAAGCATGGTGGGCAATGGTGACCAAAATGTGGCCAGATCCCAAACGCAAGTTTCAGGTTGGGTTTTGGAAATCCCTGCCTTCCTTGTAAGGGACAATAGTGGCATACTTATTGTTATAAGTTGGAACTCCTTATTGAGCACTCACTTGGGGTGCATAGTCCCTTCCTCCACGGGAAGTAGCATATCCCAGTTTTATAGATAAAAGAATGGAAACTCAGAGATCAATAACTTGTCCAAATCACAGGGTTAGTAAGTGCAAAATTTGAATTCTGCTTTGTCTGATCTCAAAACTACTCATGCGCTTCTTTGCCAGCTCCTCAAGGCTTTTTATTTTTTTAAAAAAATTATTTATTTATTTTTAAGTCCAAGCCTGTCCCTTGCTTTGAGTTTTCCAAATTTCCAGTTGGTCATGTTTTGTACCAAAGATGCACAGAGCAATGATCTTAATGTTAATGCCAGGAATTATGAGTATTAGACTGCAAATTTCATCTGTTGTGACCAGACAACATGAAATAGAAGTGGAAACATGAAATTCTTGTTTCTGATAATGCTGTTTACTTCTAGCCACATTCTTAGGAGTCTATCACCCTTCTGCATCAAGCTGATATGGAGTGAGTAAAATTCAGTTTCCTGGATCTCCTACTTGCTGGTTAAATGCCTGAGAGCAGCATTAAAGAATTTGCTTTTCTAGCTGGTTCCTGGGGTGATTTTTCTGTAAGTTAAAGTTGAAGAACTGTACCTTTTAAAGTTGGGGGACAAGGGCACCCTCCATACATGTTGGAAATGCAAATGCTTATTGGGGAAGGGGAAAAAATGGGGACCTCTAGGAAAACATCCAGTTTGATTAAGCAGAATTTACCAAGAGTCTGGAGATGTTAGGACCGGGGTCAGGACTCAGGGAGACCCCTAAAGCATATAGGCTTCCCTCTACATCTTCTAGGAAAACCCTGTCAACTAATAGAAGACATGGTTCCAGGTTGGCAGCACAGCAGTACTGGTCAGCAGTACCACTGCACTGCCAAACTGTGCCGCCAACCTGTGCCCCTTTAGGTTCCAAGCCCATGAAGTAACCAAACTAAATAAGAACTGCTCATGCCATAACCTGGTTTCACCTTTTGTTATGCATAGTACTTTTTATTCTCCCTTTCAATTTTCCCTTTTTTCTTTCTTTACTCCTCTCTTTTGTGTGTGTGTGTATGTGTGTGTTCACATGCACGTGCTTGTGTGTGTGTGTGTGTGTGTGTGTGTGTGTGTGTGACTGGATTAAAATTCTGTGGGCATCCATCCAGAAAAACCATGACAGGTTTCTGAGAGGACACAGTGGAGGACGGAAGCCCTGGGATGGAAATTTCAGAAAAGCAGCTGCTGCTCCCAGAAAAACTAAAGCCGTGTGTCCACTGGCAAAGAAAGGAGGGAACTCAGTCAATTATTTGGATAATCTGAGGGTCTGTACCGCACAGTGCACATGAGCACACAGGGCTGCTCCAGGTGAAAGTATTTTATTCTCTTGATGAAATTGCCTCCCTCCCCAGTGCCCTTCCTACCCCCACATCACTGACTGCAGGTGCAGACAGACCCAGAATAGAACTGTAGAGCTGGAAGGATTTTCAGAGATCATCTATTCCATAACCTTCATCTGACTTGACAGATGAGGAAAATGAGACTGGAAAGACAAAGCAACTTGTTAAGGATTAGACAACTAGTTAGTGGGGGGGCTCTGTGTTATACTCCTGATCTCCTGACTTAAAGCTACACTCCAGCCTCCATCCAGCTTCCAAGAGCTCAAACAGGAGGGAATTTGCTCTTTGAGATTGGGCAAAATGATGCCCATATCAATGAATTAAATTACAGCCTGAGCCTTGGTCTGCTTTATACATTTCCTGCCTCTGCCCACTTGCTTCCTGTTGTGGCCCCAGAAGGCAGGATTCAAGATGGTACAGAGTGCTTTCCTTTTCCATCTTTCCTTTTTATCTCAGAAAGAAGTAGGAGGTGAAACATGCTAGCAGAAAATTCAAGATCCTCAGACTGAGCGTGGTTTGGGGACAGCATACTTAATGTCTGAGACATCATTTTAAAAAGAACTGCATCAGAGGAGATGATACAACCAGAAATTAAGTCTCTCTAACAGTGACTCAGGGTACCTGATGGTAATGACTAATGAAAAGCAGAAATGCCTGGCATCAATACAGGCATTTATCTTCCATCAAAGATGCCAATGGTGGTGAATTATCTAATTGTC